GAAGGGTGTATTCTTAGGTTATGGAAGAAGAAGTTAAAGGTTATAGGTTGTGGCTAAGGGACGTAAGAGGTTATAAAGTGATTACAAGTAAGTCAGTAATTTTTAATGAAGAAGATTTTCCTTGTCTTAATGACAAATCTGGTGAAAAAGTAGGAAAAGATGACTTTGTAATCACTGATATAAATCTGAATAGAGAGGCTAAAAATGACCAGATTCAGTTTGAGGTGGAGCCACATGTAGTGGAACCAGAAAATGTCTCTGATGTTGAAATTTTGGAAGATAACCAGCATTTGGAGCCTGCAAATGACCTGCAGGACTACCAGCTTGCTAGGGATAGAGAAAAGAGGGAAATAAGGCCTCCTTCCAGGTATTAGTTTGATGCAGAACCAGTTTTTTATGAAGAAGTTGTCTCTTGCAAAGAATCCCCTAAGTGGATTAATGCAATGGAAGATGAAATGAACTCTCTATATAAAAATCACACCTGGATCTTAGTGGAAAAACCCAAGGAATGCAAAGTAATTGATTGTAAATGGGTATATAAGATTAAAGAGGGATATGATAAGACAAATATAAGGTATAAGGCCACGCTTGTAGCAAAGGAGTTCACACAAAGGGAAGGGATTGACTACACTGAGATTTTTTCACCCGTTGTCAAGTACACCTCTGCTAGGGTTTTACTTGCTATCGTGATACAATTTGACTTAGAGTTAGAACAACTTGATGTGAAGACTGCCTTCTTATATGGTTCTTTAGATGAAACCATATACATGACTCAATCAAGAGGGTTTGAGGTTAAAGATAAATGGAACTTTGTATGTCTCTTGAAAAAATATTTATATAGGCTGAAACAGGCCCCTAGGCAGCGGTATAAAAGGTTTGACTCTTTTATTCTAGGTTTGAACTTTAAGAAATCTGATTATGATCCCTGTTTTTACTTTAAGAGAGATGGAGAATCTGAATTTTTTTATCTGCTCTTGTATGTTGATGATATGCTCCTTGCTGGTCATAATTATGTTATTCTCAACATGATTAAAGAGAAGTTGAAATCTGAATTTGAAATGAAAGATTTAGGACTAGCTAATAAAATATTGGGCATGGAAATTAAAAGGGATAGAATAAATGGGAAGTTGTTTCTAACACAAATGTCTTATGTTGAAAAAGTAGTTAAAAGGTTTCCTCTTCATGATGCTAAGCCTGTTAGCCTGCCTTTGTCTGGTAGGATAAAACTTTCTGTTGATCAATCACCTAAATCAGAAAATGAACATAAAAGAATGATGAATGTGCCATATTCTAATGCTGTTGGATCTGTAATGTATGTGATGGTGTGCTCCAGACTTGATATTGCTTATGCTGTAAGTGTATTAAGTAGATTTATGAGCAATCCTGGTGAATTACATTGGTAATGCATTAAAATTTTGATTAGATATCTGAAAGGAACAAGTCACTTAGGTTTATTGTTCGAAACTAATAAAGATGGACTTAAACTTAAAGGCTATGTAGATTCTAATTATGCTAGAAATCTAGACAACAGGAAATCTACAACTGCATATTTTTATGTCATGAATGATACTTGCATTGGCTGGAAAGCACAATTACAAAAAGTAGTTGCTCTGTCTTCAACTGAAACTGAGTATATTGCTGCAACTAGAGCTGTAAAGGAAGGTTTATGGTTGAAAGGCTTACTAGGTGAATTAGGACTTATAGAAAATTAGGTGGAGTTATGTTCTGATAATCAAAGTGCAATGTTTCTTAGTAAAAACCCAGTTTTTCTTGATAGGTCCAAGCATATAGATGTTAAGTTTCATTTTATTCGACATATTATTGACAGGGGTGATATTAAGTTGGTTAAAATACCAACACAGGTAAATCCTGCAGATGCAGGAACCAAGGTAATACCAATAAATAAATTTCTAGATGCTTTAAGAGTATTGAATCTTGAAGAAAACTAACTTTTCTGTTTTTGTACAGGTAATAAAGAGCAAATGAAGTTGGTATAAGTTTCAAATCCACTAAGTACTGTCCCAAAATGCAGGAAAAGGTGGAGATTGTTGAAGATGGTTTGCTGATTTTAATTAAGGCCCAAATTGTGTTCTTTTAATTTGGCCTAAGTGACTGACCCAGTGTTATGATCTAATTGATAGAAGAATCTGGAATTGTTCCAACACGTTACTTCAAGGACTTCTTTTGCAATTAAAGGGAATCTTTATTTGATTGTTGACGCATGGCTTACTTGAGACCCTTGGATTGAAGTAAAAATGTTTTCTCACAAAAGGGCAGGCAATAATCGGCAGAATAGTGACGATTCATTTTAGACTTTATTTTCTAGGGCAGCAGCTTCTTCGTTTTTACTCTCTCTCTGTAAATTTGTAATCTCTAATTCTTGTGTGAATTTTGTAAGATTTGAGAGTAGGGTAATGAACTCTTGTGTGAGTTCATATGTGTAGAGGAAGAATTTGTGTTGTTTCTGCTATTCCTGTAGTCGTGAACTGTGGTTCATTTTTCCTATTTTTGGGCATTTTTAGTGGATTTGAACGTATTCCATATGGATGCTCAACAGGGATTAGGCGTTTGGAGCGGTCGCCGAACCTCGAGGCCTTTGGGCCAAAAAATCTTGTATTCTTGTTATATTTGCCATTTTTATTTCTGTATTTTGTCTGAAAATCGATGTCTTAAGTTTCTTTTGGGACCAACAGTGGTATCAGAGTCCATGTTGTGTGGCTAGATAAATCGAGGTGGTGGAAAATTCTCATGAGATGGTAGATCCATGGTAACGTAGTGGGTGCAGGCTACAATGGATTATCTCGATGAGTGGTGATTTACTTCGTGAGTCTTGTTTGAAGGAGGGATTGTTGGGGCAAACAAGTCCCACATCGATTGTGGAAAGAAAATAAATCTACCATATAACCAAAGTGGATTGCTCCACCCATTACCAATTGGTTTTGGGATGGAACCTCACTTGGGTCTGGTGGAGTGGCTTTGGGCCTTGGGTAATTGCTCTTAATAATTCCCTAACAAGGAATTACAAAGGATCCCTTTGCACGCAAATCAATGTCAATGAAAGTTCAAATTCCAGCATGCTCTATATAATTGTGCATGAGATTCACAGAGCATAATCTAATTATTGAATTCTTTGTTAGCCATTTCTCCATTGCCCTCGTCTCTTTCATTCCCCCTCAAAAGAATCAAGAGAAAAGGCAATGGCGCCTGTGATAGCCACCAATTCAACTCACCCATCATCCACAACCACCAGCCTGCCACCAAAAAGTTGGAGTCTTGACAGCTGGAAATCGAAACAGGCCTGGCAACTCCCTGAATATCCAGATAAAGATAGCCTTGAAAGTGTCCTTGAGACAATTGAATCCTTCCCTCCCATTGTGTTCGCAGGTGAGGCTCGCAGCCTCGAGGAAAAGCTCGGCCAGGCCGCACTTGGCAATGGTTTCCTCCTGCAGGGCGGGGACTGTGCTGAGAGTTTCAAAGAATTCAATGTTGATAAAGTTAGAGGCACTTTCATAGTCCTCTTGAAAATGAGCGTTGACCTCCTTTTTGGGGGCCAGGTGCCTGTTATAAAGGTCTCTCATTTCCTCATTCAATTTTCATAATTTTCAGATTTTATTGAAAACTTCTTTGTTTTAGAAAAATAAATTGCACCGCAACTTGGATTGAATGGAGGTATGTACAGAGATGTGTTTGTGATAACGATGTATACTAGGATAATTTTTATTTATTTATTTATTTTTATTTAATTAATTGGAACACTACTAGAAAAATTTGGATCTATGTAACCATCATGGATGACTGAATGATGGAACGTATGGCTGCTTGAGCCATGCTTTTGTGGCCCTAGCCTTACGAGTACCATTATTTGGTTTCATTCTATCATACCCGATCTCACTAGTTTAAAGCTCTTACCAATATTTTTCTCCTAGTGCTGCTTTCTCGAGATGCTATTATGTTTGGGCTTCCTAGACCGGGCTTTCATGTCTGTGTTATGTGAGGCAATAATAATGAACATGTACAGAATCAACAAAGAGAGAGCAAGAGAGAAAACACGCAGAGTTATGTGGTTCGACAGTAGATCCACGTTCACGGGAGTGAAGTGGCTATGATATTTGGGAAAACTCCAAAATACCCATGTACCGTTCGATGCAGAGAAGGTGGACAGTGATTCAAAATCCAATGTGGGACTTATTATTGATTGGTGTTTCTGCTATTTTTCTTCATTTGTTGTTTTTTGTTCAATCATTTATTGGTTATGCCAATTGTATCTATAAAATGAGAAAGCGGACATTCTATAACTCATTGTTGTAAGCATACTGTTTAGGTGGGAAGAATGGGTGGCCAATTTGCAAAGCCAAGATCCAGTCCGTTTGAAGTAAAGGATGGGGTGAAGCTGACAAATTATCGGGGTGACGCTGTCAACGGGTATGCTTTTGATGAAAAATCAAGAATCCCGGATCCTCAAAGATTGATTAGGGGCTACACCCAATCTGTGGCAACACTGAACCTTCTCAGAGCATTTGCTACCGGAGGAGATGCTGCCATGCAGAGGGTAACTGAGTGGAATCTTGATTTTGCTGAGCAGGGGGATAAGTATATACCAACTTCTACTTCATTTTATTCAAGATAATTGTTATGTTACCTTTTAATTAAGTAAAAATTTTACTTATTTTTATAAGGTATAAAGAACTGGCTAACCAAGTCGATGAGGCCATTGGCTTCATGGCTGCTTGTGGTCTCACAGCTGGTCACCCAGTCATGACCACTACGGAATTCTGGACGTCTCATGAGTGTTTGCTTTTACCTTATGAACAAGCATTAACAAGGGAAGACTCGACTAGTGGCCTTTATTACGACTGTTCTGCCCACATGCTTTGGGTTGGTGAACGCACACGGCAATTAGATGGTGCCCATGTTGAGTTTCTTAGAGGAGTCACCAACCCCATTGGGATCAAGGTTGACTATCAAGTTCTATCTAGTATTGCATAACTTAGTTCTTTTTTTGTCTTGTGCTATTTCCTCATTCTCTTGCTGGTGAATTACTTGTGTTTGGATGCAGGTGAGTGAAAAGATGGATCCTAATGAGCTAGTAAAGCTTATTGGTATTCTGAATCCTCAAAATAAACCTGGAAGAATAACAGTGATCACCAGAATGGGAGCTGAGAACTTGAGATTAAAGCTTCCGAATCTGATTAGGGCAGTTCGTGGAGCAGGCCAAATTGTCACTTGGGTCACCGATCCCATGCATGGAAACGCCATTAAGGCTCCTTGTGGACTCAGGACGCGTCCCTTTGATGCAATCAAGGTACGTAGTACTCGACAACATAATGAACAAAATTTTAGTTTATTTTTTTTCCTAATAGTGGGCTTTTCTTGGAAGGATGAAGTGATAGCATTCTTTGATGTACATGATCAAGAAGGAAGCAACCCCGGAGGTGTGCACCTAGAGATGACAGGACAGAATGTTACAGAGTGCGTAGGAGGCTCTTGTGCTGTAACTTACAACGATCTCAACTCACGCTATCACACGCATTGTGACCCGAGGCTTAATGCTTCACAATCGCTAGAGCTTGCCTTTATCATCGCAGAACGACTTCGAAAGAGAAGGCTCGGATAGCAATAATCTAGTGCTTGTTGGTCTATATCTGATTTTCATTTTCATTTGAATTTCTATTTAAATTTATTTTATGCAGAATCTCTGCGGTTTTTAATTCCCTTGTATTTTTATTGTTTTTTAGTTTCAAAATTTTAATTTATCTTCATGTTGCATGGTGTTTCTTTATACTATCATCATCTAATCAAAATCAATATCCCTGATAAGCAACACTCATTTGTTTCAACCACTTTGAGGTTGACAAGAATTAGGATTCCATTATGATTAATGCATGTCTAGTAACAGTTGTTCTTTACAATACTGAGCATTAAGAGTTAAACAATGTTCATAAGATGGACACAGCAAAATGAAATGATGATAAGATCATTTATATATTAGGATGGATATATCAGAATATATTGTTGTAGAATGCAACAGTACTAGATTTGAGAAGAAAGGGAGACAGATGAGAGAATCAAAGAAAATACAAGGGGAGTTTATTCACTAATCAACGTATAAGCCCTTTTTATACAAGGTTTCAAGTCACCTAATTTAAGCAAAAAATAATATAAAATACTATAAATCCTATAAAATAAGACTCTAATTATATTTTCTAAAACAAGTATTTATATTGAAAAGTTTTTAATATAATATCTCTTTTAGAATTATGACTATTTTTTGGACTGAGAGAACTTTGACTTCAATGAGATAAACTGTAACGTTAATATCTATACACGAGTTTTGATTCTCTCTTTTCTCTCCTCCTCTATAGTTTATGACACATGAAATTATTGTCAACTAAGTTAGCAAAAATAATTCTTATTCCCATTAATTCAAATAAAAGCACAAGATCTTATCATTGGTTTATTTCAAATTATTTTTACGGATCAAAGATTTACTATATGAAATCGGTTACACAATTTTCCATATTATGATGACCAATTCAACTTATTGGGTATATATATATATATATTTAAGATTAGAGAATTAGCTAATATGGGGCAAATCTTTGTGATTTTTCATTATAGTATGTCATATGTTAATAATAAATAATTAAGATGAAATTCCTTACAATGGTTAAAAGTGCCATATAGTTTCTTCATGTAACTTTATTAATATTAATATTAGAAAATTATAGTGATATTGCTCCTATAGAAGCATAAGTTTATTCATATTAATATATCAATAATATTGTAATGTTCATTAAAAAAAATTATTTAAACTTATATTCTGTGGAAAGATTCCATTATGTTTTATGAAGTATGGATGGCAACGGGGCGAGTATGAAATAGGTGGGCCATTCTCGTCCTCCGCCCCGTTGGATATTTTTGTTATCTTGTCTCACTCTCATACCCGATTAAAGCGGGACGAGACGGGATCAAGACGGTCCCATGCCTTGCTTATTGTTCCGTTTATTATTTTATATATTTTTAGTTAGTGAATATTATTTTTTTTCAATTTTTTAGGAGCAATTCATTTTCCCTTTAAAAATGATGATAAATCGTTTATTTTTGTTTGGTAAAAGCCTTAAATTTGAAATTAACTTCAAATAGTAAGGGTAGTAGGACGGGACCACGTTTTCCAAACCCGCTTCGGGAGAACGACCCCGTTCCCTCCTATCCCATTTATCCAATTAGGCGGTAGCTAATCCCCGTCCCATTTGGGGCGGAGCCTGCGGTATCGTGTTGAACGATTTTTTTTTTCTTTGCCATTCCTATTATAAAGGGGTATAAATGGCTATGTATCAATATTCTAAATGAGAATGATGTTGATATTTCTGAAGAAACACAACCAGAATATAAATATATTCAAGAAGAATATTATCTTATTATTATTGGAGGTATCCATATCAATATTTTTGAAAAATATTATGTCGGCTCTAAAGACAACTTTGAAAGTTACATAATTCGACCCTAACAATACCTAGAGAGGGTGAATATGTATATTATGCGGAATTAAAACAATTAATTAATTAGCAACATGTCACCAATTAATTATCTCTAAATGATTAAGTATACAAGTCAATTTAACATATGTTTAAATACCGCAGTTCATATAATTAATAATGAAAGCAGTAATAGCACACGGCATAATCATGGAGAAACCCCAACATGGTAAAAAATTCGGGCACTTTGACAGTCAACAATCTACTATAAACAATTTGTAACTTACAGTTTACCAGCTTAGATGACGACGCGTACTATCTGATCTTCCTACTACAATTTCAATAGCTTTTCTGGATTCTGTGTTCATGCACCACTCACAGTAGTAGTTTCCAAAACTCTCCTGAATTGTGCTCTTCTATAGCAACTCCTAGCTTTGTAAAATTGTTTATCTCATGTGGATCCACGAAGAACACTGCGTTCTTCAACGACTGGAACTCTAGTTAACTTCTCTCGATCTTCATCAACTCTGATAGATGCGATGAAAAGAACAGTTTGATATTTGGATTACGAAATTAATGTTTTTCTCAGCAAAACAAAAGCACAAGATGAATGTTGAAAGTAGGAATATGTAGGAATACTCTTTGATGAAGCTTTTTCAATGATCAACTTTGATTTTCACGTTCAGATGTATTTAAGTATTTATGGGTAAGTTAAAAAAGTAATGGGTCGGGGAAAAAGCCTTTAAATCACGAAATAAAATTTTTTCGGACAACCTTGTCGCTCGAGCTAAGGTATGGCGATAGTCAAGCATTGGAAGTTCTGTTTTTAACTCTCGCGCCCTATTTTCCTTCTTTTGCCATACTCGAACCCTAGACCTAATAAACCTATTTTCATATAATTGCACATTACTCCTTAACTTTTCACAACGTTTACAATTAAGTCAATTTTGTTTACAGAATAGTCAATTACATAATTAAAACCTAACAAGCTCCCCCTTTGACATTCTGTGACAAAACTACTAACTAAAATCGAGACAGTAATCAAATATGAAATACAGACTCAACCACCTATGACACAACTAATTGACTTGAACAAATTTTGCATTTTAATCAACATATGTTTCCTGAAATAGACAACTAAACACCCAGTGTGAATGTGTGAAAAACAGTATAAATAAAACAGTTCAAACAGTTTATAAAATATAGGCAATTTACGAAACATATGGTATTATTCAATTTCAATCATACATTCTAAATCAAGACACAGTACTAATGCAACCCAACATACCCAAAAAACACACCGATTCTACTAAAACATCAAACCTAATTCAGCAGAACTGAATATATTATATAATCAACCTCAAAATTTTTTTAAATACATCAAGTATATATAAAAGCAAAATATCTATTCCATAAAAAACATATCGAACAAAAACAAAAACATATCGAACATACTCCTCCTTTTTGTCACAAAATGACAAGGGCAACACTCTAACCAAAGAACATTAAAAAAAAAAAACGCTCTGCACCCTCACTTTTATTATGAAATATGAGCATTAACACATAATAACTTGAAAATATGAATCAGACACAAAGATAAGAAAGGAACAGTAAACTTTCCCACATACTTAATTCAAGTTATCATAGAATAAATTGTATAAGTGACTCATATGTGTAAAGTGTCACCAATCTTTTGAAAATAGGACTCTAAACCTTAAATTTAATTTGTGAGAAGGGATACGCGAAAAATCACCACTAATAAGTTTATTCCCCTGCTTATGAAAGGAAAACCATGTCAAGCACATTAGGACCTATAACAGAAAGCCCATTATAAATGGAAGCACTAATTCTCCCCCCGAGTATGAGCAAAATGATATGTGTCATATCATTTAATAAACGAAGCCCATTTTATTTTTCATCTTAAGTGCATGCTTTAATTCATTAAGCGACTAAAATGACACCTGTAGTGAGATTTAAGCCAGTTAACCCAAGTCAGTCGACTATATGCACCAGGTTATCAGACATCCCGTAGGCTTAATTACTCGAGTCAAATAAACTCCGGAGAAAAACATAAGATATTAAGTTCTTAGTATGATTATTTTGTTTTTGTTTTTATTTATTTTTGATAATACTAGGGATAAACTTGAGTTTAGGTCTAATATATATAGTCAAATCATGTTCAAAGTCACCTTGCTAACATGTGATTGCCATCTCAAGTCTCACACACTCGGTAGAGTCCCATTAACAAGATCAAAGTGTGTGCAGTGCAGAAAGTACATGAAGACTCATATACTAAGTACTTAATGAATAATGTAAGCCAGTAATGAAAATCATGATACAGTTTATCGATTAGCCCCATGCTTGATCACAACAAACAAAATCAAATACATCATACGTTAAGCTGAAAAAGCAATGTCCTCATAATTTTTTTTTTGTTTCCCCCATTTTTTTATTTTTATTTTTTTGTAGAAATAATAATAATAATAAAAATTAGAAAGCATGGAATACGACAAAAGATAAAATGACAACTCAACCAAAAGGAAGGACAATAAAAAGTAAAATAAAAATAAAGAAAAAATGCATAAATGAATTTCACACAATGGCATAGAACGAACAACAAAAATACCGAATCAATGAGACACACAAACACCAATAGCCGACCGAAGAAATTCAAATCCCAGACCATCTAATGGTTTAGTAAATAAGTCAGCAAATTGGTTCTCAATAGAAATGTGTTCAAGTGTTACAACACGAGTTTCCACAAGCTTTCGTTGAACGGGATTTTTGGAAATATAAATAGTATTAGTATTATCACAAAACACAGTCATATTATCCTGTTTAATACCATAGTCACTCAATATTTGCTTCATCCAAAACAGTTGAGTGTAGCAGCTTCCTGCTGCAATATATTCAGTCTCTACCGTGGGCAATGAGATAAAATTTTGTTTTTTACTCATCTAAACAACACGATTGGCTCCAATGTAAAAGCAGCCTCCAAAAGTATTTTTTTTCTATCATTACATTGCCAGCCCAATCGGCATCAGAATAACCAGCAATATCAAGCTTAGAGTCCCGAGAGTACATGATCCAATAATCTACATTTCCATTTACTTATCAATGATACGTCGTACGGTACTCA